AATGGAAGAGGCTTTAAACATGATGTTAACTTACTACAAACAAAACTCATTAAAGCCAAACTTTACTAAAACCCAAGTATGTGCATTCCATCTCAACAATCAACTGAATGTTTCTTGGGAGGGACAACGCTTGAAACACACTGATATGAACAAATATCTTGGAGTGATACTAGACCGGTCACTAACGCATAAATTCCACTGTCAGAGCACAAGACAAAAGGTTTCTACGAGAAACAACCTTCTACGGAAACTTGTAGGGAGCAAGTGGGGTGCAAACCCCCAGGTCTTGAAGTCAACAGCTGAGGCCTTATGTTTCTCAACAGGGGAATATGCTTGTCCCATCTGGGGTAGATCTAGACACGCCCCACGGCGTTAAATGAAACATGTAGAATAATTACTGATTGTATGAAGCCTACCCTTCTTCCCTGCTGTACCGGATAGCTGGATTCGCATCACCAGACGACCGTAGATGTGCCTCACAATATGTGGAGAAGTTCAGACAAACTTTCGATGAAAGGCACCAATTATACGGGTTTGACGAACCGCCAAGAATCAGCCGACTTAAATCAAGGAAAAGGTTTATGAGAAATGTCAACGTCGAATCACCCGGACTGTTCCCCCTACATTCAGAACGACCTAATGGAATGAACCTGGACCGGAGAACTTGGCGGATACTCAACCGCATACGCACAGGTGTTGCCCCTGTAAAAAAGAACCTCATTAAATGGGGCATCAAGACAGACAGCGACGCACTTTGTGAATGTAGGGAAATACAGAACGTGGAGCACCTGAGAGTATGCAGACTTTGCCCATCACAGTGCACCCTCGATGATTTATGGCTCGCAAATACAAAGGGTGTAGACGTAGCCCGATATTGGGTAAAAAAACTAGTCGGATCCAGACACGAAAAAGTAAAGTAAGTGTTTACAAGGAATCTAAAAATTGCTGAGTCTTGTAAATTTTTTCGTCAAATGTTTGTACTAATAATAGAGTTCATAGAGCAAGAAAACTAGGAATACATCAGCTGTTGCTGAATAGAAAACTCGAAAAAAACTTTCGAGTTCTTTCCAACTAAAGAGAAACACAGAAAACAGGCTCTAAGCGTTCAATTATCACAGATGTATTTTGTAAAACCAAATTGCGAAGATTAATATTGTTTTATGTACCTATTTAGTTTTAAAAGAATTTAGTTGTAAAATTTAAACGTTGCGCAGTATCAATATTATGTGCAAGTTACTTGGTGAATGATCTGTCTAGAACAGATATAGCTATTTGCATAAAGCCTGTCGTTACGTTTACTTACTCCAAATTTATGAATAAATCTTCTAAACAAATATTTAAAGAACCTCTAAATTCGTGAATAATGTCCACAGTCAATAGGGTTTTGTGATTATATTTATACATATTTAAAGAACTTCATACTGATCTACAACGTCTCCAGAACGAACTGACACCGAAAGATTCTAACATTTCATTATTATTAGTATTATTAAGGGAATATTTGTCACACATTTTTAAGTATTTATTACAAAACAATTCCGAAAAAATAGAAACGAAAATGATAGCACTGAAAGATAGTGCAGGCACGCTTGGGATAATACTGACTGTCGCTGCCACATTCAACAATATTCAATTTTATAGGCCAGTTTCTCTATACATTCAATTGTTTTAAGTTCACAACGAGTTAGGCAATTGCATAGTGCATAAAACGTTTTCAATTTGATTGGTTTCTTAAAATTACTATTATTATTTTCTGTTCACTGTCAAACAGACGTCTGATTGTAGTGAAATATATCTTTATTTAAAAAAAAATGCTGCATAAATCAGTCACTGTGATAAAAGTAGTAAGGGCACCCCGTTGAAATGTCCTAACTCGCAGAATACAATTTTTTTTCTTTTTTGTAGGTTCTATGTCATTGAAAATTTAAAAAATTAGTTAGACAAATTGTCCACCCTTTCGAGCAGGGAAGATGTATGTTCCTTTCATATTAAATCTTATAACAACCACCTAGTGGCATTAATATATTAAAATTCACCATGATTAAGAAGAAAGTAAGAAAAGGGTTTCTATATTTTGTTTACGTAGATAGTTTTATTGTTTTTTCACTGATATGGTCCAACCGAACCGTTTTTAAGATTTCTAATCCTTTTAAATAAATTTTTAAATTATTTTTACTCAATAATATACCATTATATTTAGTAAATTCTTACTTTTATGTATGATAATTTTAAAAGCAGGTAGAACGTTAAAATTGCACTGATTCTTATTTTTAATCACGTGGAATGTGCCTAGTTTAAAGGGGGTACCCTTTCTGGAGACATTTCAGATTAGTTCTGTTATCTAGAACTATACTTGGAATGAGTTCAATGTTGCTTTATATTATTAATATTATAATTGCAATTGTAATGGCTTAATAAGCTCAGCTTACTAGATTATTGGTTTGAGCCATACGTCAACCAGAGTCCAAAATTGTTCCGTCTATAAATTCCTTTCCAGTTACTATTACTTTTTCTCTCTCCAACACTTATGTGGTTTTTTCTTTGTCTGTGCTATTTAAACGGTGTTAACGATTACCACTACCAAAATAACAGCATCATGGATGTATCTTGTCGGTTTCTATTTCTTTAAATGCTAGGATGTGAGACTGGATTCCTTTTATATCGGAATATAGGTTATAAAGCAAGTCCTATCATCAGCTCTAACGTCAAAAGGCATTATGCTATATTATATCATCAGGCACCCTTCCTCCACCGTTATCATCATCCTTGTGCATGGCTGACGTACTTGTATATGCTCTGTCGCTTCGTGTGGCTCTTTTAAAAGTAACATTGTATAAAGCAGTGTAACGTTATAAAGTTAACACTTTTATTTATTATCCTTAAATAATTATTTCGTTTATTTGTTAAGTTTCGCTAAAAAGATACCATGTTCAGTTTCAGTTTAAATTCCATCTTTATCTTTCCTATAAACACTGCATGCGTCGCGGCATTTTAAGGTTTGTAGAATTGTCGACACATTGTTTTCAGCTTTTCAACGAGGCCACACTTTTCTGTTTACTAACCTAAAAAAGCTCCCGTCATTAAAATATTTTATTTTCCATTCTAACTATTCGAGAAAATAAACCTTCACACTTGTATCCATTTCTGGAACTTCCAGCACGTCCATTCAAGAATGTAGTAGTAATACCATTCAACATGTAAGAATACAGTAGCAACTCCATTTAAGACACGATGGCAAGCAATGATTACTGCAAAAACATTAAGATAAATAACCACCAAATAGAAACAGCAGTTTTTATTAATTATTTCAATGTATTTATGAAGAATTTTCGTCATTGAATATTTTTTGTTAAGGAGCGATCCTTGCGATTTTTGAGTGAGCTAGTCAACGTTGTTAATCAATTGGTGCCCAACGTGGGGTCGAAAGCTAAAAATTTTATATAAATGAAAAAAAATTATTTATTATTTGGTTGGTAATACTATGTACTACTAAATTCTGAATTTCTAGCGTCTTTCGTGAATGACTATATCTCATCGTACTATTCATCCATCAGCCGACTCGATTTCACTCGTGACCCTTACTTTCAAACCGCATATCCTTTGAAATTTATACTGTACGCGTTTGAAATATTTAACTCGAACCAACAATTCAATATTCCACACACTTCAATACTACAACAATCATCAATTTCGAAGTTTCATATCTGCCGGGCGTTAATGACACTTTATTATCTACATTACAGAATTTGTACTATTTATTCATGCATCATATCATATTTCAGCTTTTGTACAATCTATAAAAGATCACATTTCGTCTGAGGCATTTTTGATTTTGAATTGAATTTTATGTTAATTATAAGTATGATTCATTGCTACTATCTATGCTTACTATTTTTTCTGTTTTATGTTCTCCAAAGAATGAATAGAAGTGAAGGTTTACATCTAGATCATACTCTTCATTTAATTTGTATTTCCCCAATTTCCCCCAACTAGGGTAATATTTAATGCTGGCAGATTTTAGTAAGGTGAAGAAATTTCAGCGACAATTTTAGTAATTGTAGTTTTTACTTTCAAAAATGTATTGTTTAACCGTTCATAAGGTATGACTGCTAAATATAATCACAGCGTAAATTATTTTATGACGATAGTTGTCAAAAGAGTTAGTTTGATAAAAAATAAAAATGCTAAATTCATTATAGCAATAAGATGCCAATGTGCGCAAGTTTAAAAATAAATAAAATAGCTTATCTAGTGCATAGAAATAAAAACAAAACTGTAAGTAGGTTTTGAGGAGGTTTGGCGTGGGAAACCCAGGTCAATTGGTCTATAAAGTTATAAAACATCAGCCACGATCAAAATGGTGACTTTAACGTTATTTGGCAGACTTCTGTACATGTAAAACAACTAAAATAATAGTCAAAGTCAAAGAAACAAGAAGGTTATGATTCTAGGATTTCTATGTTCCCAAAAGTCAACTAAAAAACATACGTCAACATGACGTAAAACATGATTTTAAACTTTTTGTCAACATACTTACAAACATTTATTTTGAATGGTAAAATGTAGACTAAAAGACAAAAATGTAATGGCAATATTACATTATTTTATGTACGTCAAACCGTAGATAATCATGTACAGGTTTGCGATAATCATGTACAACTTGTCAACATCGCAAATATGACGGAACAACCATCTTGAAAATGGACGAAGCTTCGTGTAAAATATGTTACCAAATATTCCCACGCCAAGCCCTTCATCCTCCATCCATGATTATGATTTCAATAGAAAATAATGTAAAAATAATTTTTGACTGTACAGTCTAAATCTCTAGCATAAAATCGTTTAAAACATAATTAAAGCTGCATATAGTAAATCTCTTATAGAAATACTGGCCTATTAACGCTGGTAACCCAACAAACAACAATTTTAATGTACAATTAATAATACTATGAGTTATTTAATTACGATATAAGGGTTTTTAGTTCATTAAAGCTCATTTACCAATTTCATACACATATCTTTATTTCCTTCTCACCTCCGGTTTTTTCATAGCATTACCATTTCTGATGGTACGTGACGGAGATGGTGATGCATTAGACACAGATATGATACCACTTCGTAGACTTATTCTCAATAAGTGAGATCACACAGGTAAGATGTAAGCGGTTACAGAAGGTGATACCACAAACTGAAATTTTCTCACATTGCTACAACAAACAAAGATATTCTCAAGGGTGATATCACGCTAGGGTGTGACTCACAAAACGATACCACTCGCAAAAGTGGTACCTTACACTGAGGTGATACCACACATTGCTGCAACTATTTTATCAATGGAACACTACACGGTCATTTTTATTTTATCCTATTAGAGCTATGGAACATATCAGGATTGAATATCGTGCGGTTTTCGGTCCGCCGCTACATGAAGTAAATTGGTATATTCTATTTTCAAGGTTTGTCTTGCCTGCAAAGTAATAGATGTTTAATAATTATACATATATCAAAAATTTAATTTATAAGTACAACAGGAAAACAACAAATTAGTAAAACACAAACACATTTTTTTTATGCAATAGCATTCTTCTGAGGTTGAATTAGGTTAGACGATGTGCTTTTAATATGTTCGAATTCGTAGAACATACTCAGTAAGTCCATTGAAAAATTACATTGAGATTACATTTTTGAGAGGACGCAATTTTACTTTTTTGACGTGTAAGGGTAACTATAAGCAGAGAACTACGAACACAGAGAAGCGACACGAGCCCCGAAATTCGTGTACCGTTTCTGTATACGCATACCCGAACCAGGTTGCTTTACTGTCAAAAACACGTGCGTTTTCTTCAACTCTGGTTGTTTACGACAGTCCGTAGGCACCTGTGGTAAATAATCGACCATACAAGTGCGTTTGACCATTTATCTAATTTACTTAGTAGTTAAAAGTTTATAGTTATAGTTAAAATATATAAGTATATAGTTATAGTTTATAGTTAAAAGTTTAATTTATAAGTATTTAAAATATCTTCTGGTTATTGTTGTGCATTTCGCGGATGTTCATCTGTGACAGGAAAAGGAATAAGTTTATTTAGATTTCCTAAGAATAATAACAGGTAATTACTATTGCTTTGTAATTATTATTAGTTATTACATAATAGTATTAATTTGACTTTCGATCAGTAAGCCGACGCCGACGTGTCCGTCCGAGCTCTCGTTAAGTGAAGCAATAAAAAAATAAACTTCGGTCTGCCAAGAGATAGTTCAAAATAAAAACATTAAATTTATTGTCTCCGAAGGCTCAGGTCAAAAAATCAACAGATGTTGGCCTACTGGTGTGAAAGCGTTCGCAGACAACAATACGAATATAGTATTTTTAGGAAATAAAAATATATAGAGGGTTTTATACACGAGAATATTTGATTTAAACGAAACAAAGAAATTCCTAAAATGCTCAAACTAAAAATTGTTGGAAACATAATTAGACCGATAATTGGGAAATCTTAAAATTATAACAGAACAAGACTTCAAAATAAAAACATGGTTGCAAATAACCAAACTTACATTAAATTATGAAAAAACTAAATACTCATCTACTTTTTGCTATATACAAAAGTTGTCTGTCAATGTTTAATTCGTTAAATATAAATAAAAAAGATCAAATATATGGATCGGAGTACACAACATATTTAGGGAATAAATATTTAAATGGGAATTACAAATAAAAAATATTAGTTGTATATCTCAATATTTAGTGACAATTTTGTGACTTAATCAGGAGAAAACTGTAAATTTATTAAGATGAGATATTGACAAAAGTTAAATACTTCATTACTTACAATATACTTAGAATATACTAATACTCTTATAGTTGTAAGTAATGAAGTATTATTTATAAATACAGAAAGTTCTTTGTTTAAAATTTGTTCTGTTAAAAATTTGTAGTGCCAAAATGTGGATAGAAGCTTGCAGACGAGAAGATTTATTATTAAAAATGGATATACTTTATAATAGTTATAGGATTTGTGAACTACATTTTGAAGATAATCTTATTGTCAAAAAAAAAATAAAAGAAAAACATTGGTGCATGACGCAGTACCTTCCAAATTTCAATATATTACGATAAACACAATTGACTACCGTGAAGATATGGAAGAACCACCAAAAAAGATTATCGTTTTAGGTTTGTGTACATTTAAGTTAAATGCTTAAATGTTAAATGCTCGATTTTATTTAAGAATTTATATTGTGTGATATGCCCACTAACTATTAGTTATCTGGTTGCTTTCCTGTCATTTTCACTCATTGGCGGCTTGCCCACGCAAGATCAAAGGAGTGTCGCTTCTCTGCGTTCGTAGTTCTCTGGTATAAGCTTAAGTTCAAGTTTGTGATGTCGTCACCTTTGTCTTCGGGTGCCATCTTGGAAAAAGGGGGCAAAATTAGCAACCCCACAAAAATTTTTTTATTTGTAGCAAATTAAATTTTCTAAAACTTAATTTTTATTACTTTTATCGTAAAATTGAAAATAAAAAAAAAAGTTATACATATTTCTTCTGAGTCTTTATAACTTTTATTTGTCATGTTACAATAAAATGACATCAGAGACATATGTAGAGCAGCGGTGCTCAAAGGGTAGACCGATCTCCAAAATTTTTTAAGTCGATCGCGATTCACGGAGAAAATATGGGGACTGTCCTGACTCACCACAGGTGTATGATCGAAATAATTATGATGCTATGTACGTTTCTTTGCAATTTGACGAGTTAACCCATATGACTGATACCGCCCAGTTGTGTATTTTCATTCCGATGGTATTTTCTGACATGTTGGTTAAAGAAGAATTGTTATCAATGCTGCCTCTGAAAGAAAAAACTCGCGGAGAAGATATAAACGACGTTTTTATAAATTTTGTAAAACAATATGAGCTACCGATTCACAAACTCGTGTGTATTACAACAGATGGTGCACCATCCATGACTGACGTTAACAATGGATTTGTTGCATTATGTCGAGCTAACGATGACTTTCCATCGTTTTTTTTTTTTTCATTTCATTGCATAATTCACCAGCAAGTTTTGTGTTCCAAAATTTTGGACGACATCATGAAGATAACAACAAAAATTGTGAATTCAATAGGAGCGCGAAGCTTGCAATGACGTCTTTTCAAAGCGTAGTTGGAAGCTAGCGACTCTGCGGAACACACCGATTTACTTCTGCATACAGATGTGAGGTGGTTGAGCCGTGGAAAATTTTTAAATAAGTTCCAGGAGCTACTTCCCGAAATAATTTATTTATTTATTTTTTTTTAACGAGGGGATGGCACTCATCTACTTCAAAACTAAAAATTGCTCAGTGATCTGGCTTTACAAGGTAAAAATAAAACAATTATCGATATTATGAGCGCAATACAAAGGATTTAAACTTTCCGTCGTTGAAAAAAAGGGTAGCCGCTCATTTGAATTATGTTTATTACGAGACGGAGCTGCAAGCACTTCATAGTGAGGCTTCGCTGATTTTAAAAAACTGACAGATATTGTAACATTCATGTTTAATCCATTTTCTTGTCAAGATGTGGAAAAATAGCCTCTGAAATATCCGTTACATTTAATATAGAGATAATTTCCGTCCAAGATGAGGAAGGGTGGACTAAAAATAATTTTGGATACCTGCTCGTGCTCGTTCTTTTTTCTTCACTCCACTGTATGCTAGAAAATATTCGTTAGAATCTCTTTGGCTTTTATCTTTCTTCTTGGTTTCTTGGATTGCACAAATATCTATGTTTTTATTTATCAGTTGGTCTGTTATCTCTTGGTCTTTGTTGTTGAAAGAAGTAATGTTCCATGTTGCTAATCTAATTGTGAGCTTATTTTTCCGTCTCGTTTTCCTTTTCTTTGCGTAATTCGTCATCTTAGGTTCCGTCTGGTTCCGATGCGTTATATCGGTTCTTTGAGCCTTGTGTTTTTTTTTACAATGGGTAGGATGTTAACCTGGCCCATCAAACCTTCTCTTTTATATGGGCTTGGGACCAGCTGTGGCCATAAACGCGGCTTCTGAGCTACTCAATCCACACAGATTTAAAATGATATGAATAAAAAATATATGATAGAAAACTAAGTCATTCGTTTATATCGTATTTTTACGAATAATTAAGAACCCAGTCAACTTCAGAGTGCTATAAAACCCAGAAAAATTAATTAAACTATACACATTTGTAGGGAAAATGATTCGTTGCAAAATCCTCTATTCTACTGCTCTGACATCATTTTATTATAAAATCATTATAAAAAAAGTTAAGCTGAAAAGAAAATTTGTTCAAAAATTTTTAGTTATTATTTTACGATTAAAAGCAATATTAATAAAGTTATAGACAATTTAATTTGCTACAAATAATTTCTGATAATTTTCTGTGGAGTTGCTAGTTTAAGAGATACAGCACGAAAACCCTTTAAACCCTGTATTCCAAGATGGCGAGTATTCGAGAACTCGGCCAACTCCTGAGCTCTGTAAAATCTAGAGAAATTAATGTAATTAAACAAATTTATAAATTATTCTTTGGAAACTACTCTATAAAAAACAGTCTATGGCACTGCTCTCGTGTCATTTTATTGTAAAATTACCAGAAAAAAAGTTATAAAGGCCAAAAGAAAATGTGTTCCAAAATGTTGAGTTATTTTTGTTTATAACTTTTTTATTTTTCATTTACGATTAAAAATAATCAAAATAAAGTGGTAGACAATTTAATTTGCTACAAATAATGTCTAATAAAATTGTTTGAAGGGTTACTAGTTTACGAGATACAGCGCGAAAACCCTTTCCCCCTTTTTCCAAGACAACGACCGAAGTTAAGCTTATGACTTTCCGAACACATCAAAAAAATAAAATTGCGTCCTCTAAGAAATGCACGTTAAGCCCTAAAAAATGTAAGAATTCAATGGACTAAGTAGCAACATATAGATTGTTTTTATAATTTCTTTTATTAATGAAACACAACGGCCTCAGTCGTCTGATACGTTTTTATCTATTGAATGCTAATTTGACAGAATGAAGTGATAGGAAATAAAATCATTACCGGTGTATTTTGTGTAGGTATTTGTAAAGCTAACGCCATACTGTCTGCATCAAAACTTTCATCTAAAGCAATCAAAGCACCATGGACTCCAGATTCTTCTAAATTATTACTATAATCCTGAAAAATTAAAAATATTCAGTAAAAACATCACTAATATTTACAAAATATAATAAAAAAAGGAACATAGCTTGTATATATTTATATGATCATGGTGTACTGCTTGAATTTAACTTCTCACAGCAAAAATTTAGTTGCTGTAGATTGATTGATAATCCGTGAACGATTACAGAAAATATCAACATGTTAAAGCCTCAATACTCAACATATACCTAACAATGATATATGCTATTAATATAAAATATTTATGCAAATAAATATAAAGGCTATCGAATAATGTCCTATAAGCAATCTCTTCAAGACAAGAATTGATGAGAGTTCTCTGACAAGAATTCTCTCTATATCTTAGAGAAAATTTCACACGATGAATAATTAAATTCGACGACAGACTTGTAATCTTGGAGAGACCAGATTACAGTTCTGAGTCTCACCGCCAGAGAAGTAAACATAATTACCATTATGTTCTGAAATGGCCCTCTTCTAACCAATACGTTTCAGCTAGCCCAGAGATTTCAATGGTATACCTTGCCAGCTCTCTTTCAATAATTGACAGCTTACCTGTGATTGTCTTTGGCCCTTATACGTTCCATATACCGACATTTATTAATTTTCTGAGTTTAATTTCTGTGGACCAGTGGCCAATTTCGCACTGCTTGACCCGGACTCAAAGTAGCGTCGGTCGTCACCCGGACTGTGGTGATATGTCAATTTAAATGAGGGTAATCGAGTAAACTAACAAGAAACTGGTAGTCGATTGCAAATTAGATTAAGAAAATAATTTGTTCAGTGAACTAGATAGGGAAGAGAACAAGTTCAGACTATTTTATCCTTTTTGAAAACTTTGGTAGTTTTGACATGGTAGTAACAGCTATTGCTGTTACCACGACAGTTTAATATTCACACACTAAACAAAGAGAGTAAAGGGTTGAAATTACGGTACAACACAGCGACATCCTTCTCTGTGACATCTCACCAGCAATGAAAAGACGTAGTTAACTGAATGAAAAGTATTGTAATGATCCCAGTTTTTATCGACCTTCCGTTTTACTCGCCTTTGTTAAGCCTAATAAGGATTAAACAACAATTAATTGTCACATTCATCAGTTAACTTATAAACAGTATTGCTTACCTTTAAACCTATAGAAGCTACCCATTTAACCACACGCTCATTGGTCCAAACTATGACATCTGATAATGTATTCTCACAATTTTTTCTCCTCTCTTCTAAAGCGTGTCTATCGAAATTTAACCTCTTCAAACACGAAATGCCGTAATGTAGGCTAGTCCTGAAAACATATCCAATTTCAATAAAATGAACAAACAAAAACAAAATATTTATATAAAAAATGCAGCTTGATGGGTATGATGAAAAAATCAAACAATACAAAATTGTTAAAACTTACCGATGGAAACCATCGACCATTTTTAATTGTCCTCTTAGGTCCTTCTTCGTTAAATGGTCTAGCATTCGGGCATCGACCAAGCATTCCATAAAGGTAGTCCGGTATTGTGGAAGACCTAGTGCTGGAAGCCAAGAATTGCCGATCCATTCGTGGTTCATATCACCAAACGCTAAAGTTGTTCTGGAGGTTTTTGGCGCTGACGGTGACGTTAAGGATACCATTTCTTGTATTGCCAGACGCAGCTTCAGCCTAACGAATAAACAAAGTTAAGCACGCTAGATATATTAATATGTAAAGATTTTTAGAAACTCATATATCGATGCATACTGCGTTCCCAGGTATATCATTTTTTGCAAAGCTATGAATATTTATCACAGAAACTTTTATTTATAGTTTTTAATTATTTTAAATATTTCGAAGCTATTTGTTGGCTAGAAATGACATAGAAGTATGAATATGTAATATTCTTTTTATTCTGACAACGAATTAAATTTTTCGGATTCTGCTCTTCGAATGTCAAGTAAGCCATAAGCTAAAAAAGCTTCCATAAAAGATCAATGGATTTAAGAACTTTCATTTTTCCGATGTGATGCCTAGCAAAGCGGGGAAGTGAAACTTAAGTAATACTCCAGAAAGCTAGCGAACTCTAAAAAATTATAGCCTTGACACTATCGTGCTTTACAAAAAAAAAGAGATAACGAAGATGCAGAAATTGGTGACTCTCATGAGTCTAAAAATAAAAACATAAAGAGAAAGAGTAGATGACGAATCACGAGTCACGACCTCAGTGACGGATTGTTTCTGTCCGAAATCGATCTTAATGACGCCAATGACAGCCGGGTACTACAAGCCTTCAGCTCACTTAGGTAGCTTCTGCAGAACTTACTATTGCTAAGAAAGTGTTTAATTTAATCTTAATACAAGAGCCCTGGGTCAACCAGCGCAAAATAAAAGGTCTATCAGTTCTTAATATTAACGCTAATGGAAGATATATGAAAGTGTACACAATAATATGTAACTTAAATTAGGTTAAGTTTTACATCTCTTTGTCAACCATTTTCCATCCATTCCTGAATGTAGGTATTTCCCAATTGCTTCCATCTTTCTCTATCTTGCGCCAATCTAATCCACTGTTTGCCTGTCGCTGCTCTTATGTCATCTACCCATCTTTTTTGAGGTCTTCCCACACTTCTTGTTGTCGTCCTTGGTCTCCATTCTAGAATTCTCCGTGTCCACCTGCTGTCATTATATCGGACTACATGATCTGCCCAGCGCCATTTTATTTTTGTAATTTCTTCCACAATATCCCTAATCTTCGTTCTACGTCTTATCTCGGTGTTTCTAACCTTGTCCCTCAGTGATATTCCAAGCATGATTTGTTCCATTGATCTGCGTTATTTCTAATTTTTTAGCAGATTTTTTGGTTTGGAAGGGCTACTGTCTCCAAGCCGTAGATACAAACTGGTAGTATCATGTGTTATACACCTTTTTCTTTAAGTTGAGGTGAAGGCATTGAGGTGTTTTTCAAGATATATGCTAGTTTGCCGAAAGCGCCCCATGCCAGTTGTGTTCTTCTTTTAATTTCAGCATCTTGATTTGGTTTTCCTTAGTTTGATAGAATGACCTAGATATACATAATGTTCAACATTTTCTATGGTATGATTTTGTATTGTTATATCTGTCTGGTCTCGGCTCAGTATTTTTGTTTTGCTGTAGTTTATTTTTAAACCTACCGCTCCTGAAACTGCATTTAATTGTTGTAACATATCATTTAGTTCTTGGATATTATCGGCTATTAAAACTATTTCATCTGCGAATCTCAAATGGTTTAAGTACGATCCGTCGACATTGGTACCCTTGTTGTTCCATTCTAGTTTCTTAAAAATGTCTTCTAGAGCAAGGGTAAATAGTTTTGGAGAGATGATGTCTCCTTGTCTTAATCTCCATTGTAGTCTCTTAGGGGGTTAGTTTTTGTGCTTTCGTCCAGCTTTATCTGCTTGGTAGCATTTTCATATATGTTTTTAATTATGTTAGTGTATCTTGAATCTATACGTGCATTTTCTAGAGATTCAAGCACTGCCCATAATTCGATGGAATCGAATGCTTTATGGAAATCGACGAACGTCATATGAATTGGATTATTAAACTCGGTGTATTTTTCTATCAGTGTTCTTACGGTGTGGACTATGGTGGTCTATGGTACTAAAATGTTTTCTGAATCCAGCCTGCTCGATAGGTTGATAGAAATCGAGCTTATGTGTTAGGCGGTTGGTTGTGATTTTAGTTAGTAATTTATACAGATGTGATACTGGTGGTAGGAAGGATATTGATAGGTAATTCTCTATGTTTGCTTTGTCTCCTTTCTGGGATAGTAAAATGACTTCGAAGTTGTACCATTTTTGAGTAATCTTTCCTTCCTCAATTACTTTAATAAATAAAATATTTAATACCTGTTCCATTTTTCTGCCACCAATTTTCAACATTTCAACTGTAATTTTATCCTCTCCCGGACATTTATTCGTTTTTAGTTGATTTAGGGCCATTCTTATTTCATAGTCGGTTATGTCCGATATTTATATATTATGTCCGTGTTAATTATTGTTCGTTCAGTACGTCTTTGTTGTGGTTGTGTATTTACTGAGTATAATTTAGTGTAGAATTTTTCAATGGCCTCGCTTATTTGCTTATTTCCTTTCTGTCTCGGACGGTGAGGTTTTTCTTATTTTTTTTTTTTCTATGATTTTTGTTATGCCGCTTGAGTTTTTGCTTTCAGTACTTTCATATTGCAGTTATCTTGTATTATATCTTTTATTAGATTGTAAGTATAGCTTTTATGATCGTTCCTAATTTCTTTCTTCACGTTATTGTTCAAACTTTTGAAGCTGGCTGAAGTTCGATCTGTTTTGTTTTTTGGAGTAATTTAATTGTATTTGATTGGAGTTTAGATGTTTTGGCTGTTTTCGTGTTTGAGCATATTTTCTTAACCAATGTTGTTACAGTTACTTTTATTTTAGTGGCTAGTCCGTTTATATCCATTTGTTTCAGTGTCTCTATTGATTTTAGTCTTGTGTTAGCTCTTTTTGCTATTCCGTTTGTTTTTGAAACAGGACATCGGTGGTTGGGTATCGTTCTCGTTTAATAAGTTTGTTTCGTTTTACTCTCATCTGTATTTTAATATTCGCTCTAACCAATCTATGGTCACTCCCGGTATAGAATTTATTTAGTACTGTGACATCGGTGCATATGTTTTTGTTATTATACATATGCACCGATATGTATGTAGTCTATTTCGTTCTTAGTTTTCTTGTCTGGGCTGATCCATGTCCATTTACGTCTCACCCTTTTCGTTCCTGTTGTCCAGCCCAAAGCGACCGATATATTGTGTGTCACATTCTTCTTTTATTCCAATTTTTGCATTAAAATCTCCTGTGATTATTACGAAGTGTGATTTTTCTTGGTTCCTTGCTGTTGCCAGCTCCTCGTAAAATGTTTCAGCTTCCTCGTATGTTGAGTTTCCGGTCGGTACATATCCATTTATTATCTGTAAGCTATATCTGCTGTTCAAAGCGATGACAAGATATATGACTGTTTAATACTGCACAGAACTTCGTTACTTTATAGGGAGCTCGTTTGTTTATCAAGAACGCTACACCGCCTATGTGATGATTTTCTACGGAGTTTTTCTGGTACAGCTGATGAAAAGATTTTAAGATGGTACATGCTTCTGGTAAGCGAGTTTCGCATAGTCCAATTATATCCCATTTGATATTTGAGAGCTCTTCTTCTAGTTCGTCAAGGTGTTCTTGGGCAGCAATGATGGGTAGTTTTTCTTATTAGATTCAGTCGAATAATTGCCTCCCCCAGAATCCATGAGGCTGACTGATTGCTCGGTGTGAGATTCTGAGTGTATAACTCTACTCAACTAGGGTAATTCCGTATTGAAACGCCACGCTTCCCCAAATCCCCAAAATCAAGGGATTGCCACTTCCGCCATCCACGCCGTACCGAAGGTATTCTTCTCCGCCGCCTTGTGGACTTCATCCGTGACCCTGAATAAGCAGGTACTAGTGTCCCGAGTCAGGAAACCTCTGTAATCTGTGGAGGGCAGGGATTGATTCATTTCCCCTATCAGGACTATCAGAGGTTTTACAAAGTAATGTAAAACAAAGTAATTTTATGCTAAACAACCAAAAGAGCAAAATTGTTACAAACTTTAAAGAAATTGAATATTTGATCTACTATATAATTTTCACAGTAACGAAATAACCTAAAAATCCTTCTGAAGATGAGAGTTTTTAAGGAACTATTTAATTTGTACTAATTGGTTATCCTCCGATAAGGATTTATTAACTGTTAAAATTTCTAGAATGTATAAATAATATTTTACCTGTGAAGTGGATTGCTAATTCCTATTTCTCTCTGGATCTCCGTATCGCTAAGAGCGCTCATAATAGCGCCAGATTTTACGTTCGCCCGACATGCAGCGACGTACCAAGCAGGCATTCCTACCCACAATTCCAACCAAGCTACAATCGTCGGTCCGTTCCACAACGCAAACGGTGTACCGGCCTTCATTGCTTCGGCTAACAATTCGTGTCTGTAGTCTAAATCCCTAAAAATTCTATACTTTTAAAATATAACAAAAAATGTTAACGTAAAAACACGTTGAACGAATGTTGTTTAAAGTAAAACTACATCTTGAAGTTGGAAAAATAACCACCCTCATAATTTGATAATTTGAATGAATGTAAATGATCCCAAAAGTAGAACAAAGTTGTTAATGAATGAATCTGATATTAATTCGTTCGCATCATAAAAAACTGGTACAACTCTTATAACCGGAAATCGGGTTTTTTAAGTTGTGTAAGTTGATCTTGTCACATGTGTCATTCTAATTTCTAGGGCAACGTTGCCAGTTAAACAAAATATTATATCAAAACAGCTAAAAGCAGGACTATGCGACAGACCGCAAAACTAAAACAATATCGAGCATTCTCGATCAGTCAGTCACATTTATTTAAATATGCAACCTAAAAAATTCTCCTACTAATTTTATAATTTTCCATCATCTCAATTAAGTACCCATACATTGATTCGTGTTTTATTATAATTTATAAAAATATTTCAATTCAAAAATAATGATAGATAATAAATTTGGACGTGTAGATTCAACCTCCATAAGGACCATTACGGTGAGATATTAGATTGTAATGTAATTGGGACCGTGCAAGTTCGGAACAGCGACACCTGGTGTCGTAAATCAGCAAAATTTACTGCGCTTTCATGTTAGATCGAGGTTACCGGATAACTGACAAGGACGTAGTCCCAAAAAAGAATAAGAAGAAAAACTAAGGTTAAGGTTATGTCGGTAGAAGAAAAACTAAGATTAAGGTTATGTCGGTATGTTATTAAAAGGTAAACGTTGTATGTAGTGTAAATACAAATAAATATATTATTAAATTACAGCATTACTGTTAATATGGATGCAATAATAAAAACTGGATTTGAGAAAGTAAATCACCAAATAACTTTTCAACCAAGCACTGAGTCAAAGTGAAAAGCTTTAGTAGTGGCAAATGTCAAAAAAGAATGGAAGAATTATGTGGAAGAATTAAGAAAAATAAATTACCATAAGTAATGCTAATGCATAAATAAGCAGGTTAAGCCCATGATATCATCATATTGGTTTGAACAATTAATTCTTTCCCTGTAAACTTTTGAACAGCGAATATAATATATCTTAATGCATCTTCAAAAAAACTTGAACTTGATGCATTTTTGTAAACTTCAAAAAAATAAAATTTAAACATTAAACGTAAATGAACTTTAAGTGAGTGTTATGAAACTAAAATTTACACTTAAAAGTTAACTTTTATTTATTATTTATTTCAAACTGACTTTAAAATCGGGCGCAAGAATAATGCATAATTTAGGTTATGTTACTTATGCTTTTTTATGATATAAATCCACTTTTTTCTCTGTAGTAATTTGTGCTTCGAAGTTGGAAACGAACAAACCTTAAATTGACAATTTATTGTTGTATTTTTACAATTTATAACACAGCATTTCCTAAATCCCATTTTCTTCAGTGACAGAAGGTGTAAATAAACAAACGAGTATGAAATATGACAATTGCCAATATGAATTTATGAAATCTATGAAATGTGCAGTAAAAAATGCAAGATTTCTCCGCTACTCGCGCACGATCGTTTCTCGTATCACATCCAAGTACTTGCACGTCCCCAATACTGTCCGATTTCGAAAAGCGTTTATTCGCTCCGGATATTCTATGGTTTGTAATCTATGTAGGATAAAGTATAATGTTAGTTTTTTTAGTTTACAGTTACAGTACAGTTAGTTAGTTTACAGTATAGGCATTTCAATGTTCCCTGTGCCAATACCTTACGTTTAAAGATCCTTAAATCATTTTGAGCATAAACTCAACCCTCTCTCTGGTTATTCAATTTATTAGATACGGTTGTTTGTTCGTAAAAATAATAACTATCTTAAAACTTTATACATTTTTGAACGATATTTTTTATTTAGATTTAGTGTGATTCCGTTATCTGTAATGGCAACAACGAATTGATTCACGAACCATTATGTCCAGTCTGAACACGGGTTTACATTGGGAAAAAAGTGTACCAGTTTTATATGCCGGGAAGTGTACATATCAATCAAATTCTCGGAATAAAGGTATAAACTAAAATAACTTACTTCTTTTTCTGTCGTCTATCAAATTCAGGTTTTTGTCCAAGTTTTCCAGATATGCTCATCGTATCACAAAAGTCGCCGTCTGAGATTCCAATACTGCTTTGGCTTAAATTTAAATTTATTTCGGGTCCTACTACTGTGGGTTCTTTTCCTTTCACCTAAAAAGTATAAATGTAATCATACGTCAAATATAAAGGGAAATATGCGAAGAATGAATAATTATACAGGTTTGGAATACCAAGGAATGAAAATGCAACCGATGAATTGCGATACCGTACATATTACTCTACTCCTGTTCATAGCTTTAGCAAGGCGCTGTTTAATTTTTGTCAATAAAAGTTTGAAGGAAAATTTGGATCCTAATTAAATATCTTCCTCATATTTTACCTGAATACATGTCGTAGATTATGCTAAGAAGGAGGGACATTATCAGGCCAATATTAAGACATTTTACCCGTTTTCAACATCTCGTGAAGTAATTACTGTTTTCTCCGCCCTTTTTTTGCTGCAACATGATTCATTCATTTCAAAACTGGCATAAGCTACAATATCCCTTGTCATTTATGATTAAGTAATCTATTTTTTTTTTCTATTGCTATTTCTATTGAAATATGGATATTTCAATAAGCATCTAGTTGGGCCATGTTAAATACTTTTTTCTTCTTCCTCCTTCATTAATCCATGGCTTATGGAGTATTTACATTCAAACGCCATAACTTTCGCTTTTATAATATTTTCCTATTGAAATTCTCCTCTCCCTCTCTCTATAATGACGCTACATCCCAAATCGATCCTTGACCTCCTCAAAACTTTGCCTCCAACCTTGCCGGTGCCGCGCTGATCTTCTCCAGGTTCTCACGTCTAGCAAATTTTGCGCGTTCACTGCCACTTCATCATCCCATCTTTTCCTGGATTTTACTGTCTAGGCCTCTTTTTGGTCCATCGAAGTCTATCAAGTTTAACGAATTCTGAAATCGGTGCCTCTTTAAACAGTTGGTAGATCTCCATACTCCGTTTTCGTTCTTCTTCTTATGGTGCCCTATCCAATTACTGGATATTGGCAACAATTCTGGAATACTCCTCGCGATCTTGTGTGACTCTAAAAAGTGCATGGGCATTGAGACTTGTCCAATCCCTTATGTTTTTAAGCCATGAGTATTTCTTTCTTCCGATGCCTCGTTTTCCTTCTATCTTCCCTTCCATAATAAGCTTTAAGAACTGGTATTTGGAATTTTGAAATACATGCCCCAGATAAGCAGTTTTTCTTCTTTTTATTATTGGCAGCAATTCTCGTTCTCTGTCCATTCGATTTAATACTTCGACATTTGTTGTGTGATCTGTCCAGGGAATTTTTTCGTTAATCGGTCGAAATATCTTCCTTAGGACTTTTCGTTCGAAGACTTCCAGTTTTCGTTTTGTGTCTTCTGTCATCACTCATGTCTCGCATCCATAAGATACTATTGGTCTGATAATAGTTTTGTAGACCCTGATTTTCGATCTCCAGTATGTGTTTTTGGAGCGGTAAAAAGTAAGCTTTGTTTCCCTTTGCTACTCTTCTTTTAATTTCTGGTTCATCTATTTCATCCGTGTTTAATTTAACTCCCAGATGTGTGAAACTTTCTACAGTTTAAATATGGTCCTCTAATTCATCTGTTTCCCCTAGCTCTTGTCTGTGTTAGTTTTTTGTCTTTTGAATATTTATTTCTAATGCGGTCTCTTCTGCCCCCGTTTTTAATTGTGAATATATTCCTGCCGCTTCTTCCATTCTGCGAGACATGATGCTAATATCACCGGCATAGGCGGCAATCTGTATTGATTTATTGGTTAGATTACCTCCTCCTATATTCAGCTGTCTTATAACATATTCAAGAGTCACGTTGAATAGTGTCGGTGCCAGCCAGTTGAGCCAGTCTCCTTGTTTTAAGAGCGTAGGCGCAAAATTTCGACCCAATGCTTTTTAAATGAATTCATTTTTTTTTAATCCTGAGAAAACTAACAAATATTTTTGAAAAATTTAAACGCATAATGCAAGATTACATTATTATCGAGGGCCGAAAGTCCCTTAAAATAAACAAAAAGTTTTTTTGAATGAGATATTTGAAATTAAAAATCACACTAATTTTTTTTATTTTTCAAAAATATTTATTAGTTTTCTCAGGATTTGAAAAAAATGAATGCATTTAAAAAGCATTGGCCCGAAATTTTGCGCGCCTATGCTCTTAATACTTCTAAGCAATTGCATTTCTTTAGGTTAGGTTTGCCGGAATCAGATTAGGGAAAATTCAATAAAATTACAATGTTCACCAAAACATCCGTTACATGAAAGCATCAGATTCATCATCATTTTGGCTTTACAACCCTGTGTGGGTCCTAGCCTCCCCAACAATTATCTTCCAGTCGTTCCTATCCATCGCCTTCCTCCGCCAAGCACGTATGTCCATATTTCTCATATCTTGGTCTATGTTATCTAGGAATCTTGTTCTGGGTCTTCCTCTTTTTCTTTGACCAATAGGTCTCTCAAGGAGCGTTTTTCTAGCTGGGTCGGTTTGGTCCATCCTCATTACATGGCCTACCCACCTCAGACGTCCTATCTTAATGTATTTTACGATATCTGGTTCCTGGTATATTCTATAGAGTTCGAAGTTGTATCGTCTTCTCCAGACACCATTTTCATTTACCACTCCATAAATTCGCCTCAGTATTTTTCTTTCGAAACATCCTAACATGTTTTCATTGCTTTTTGTTAAAGTCCAGGTTTCTGAACCATATGTTAGGACTGGGCGTATTATTGTTTTGTAGAGTTTTACTTTTGTATTTCTTGATATAACTGTAGATTTAAAAAGGAGATTAAGGCCAAAATAGCATCTATTAGCCGTGCAAATTCTGCGGTTTATCTCTGCGGTAGTGTCATTTTCAGTATTGACGAGCGTTCCCAGGTATACAAATTCATTAACTGCTTCGATTACGTCGTTTTCTATAACAACTGGCCGTCTTATTTGTGGTTGCGGACCTATTTTCATGTATTTCGTTTTATTAATGTTTATTATTAAACCCATTTTTTTAGCCGCTTCCTTTAGTGCTACATACGCCTCTCGTGCTGCGTTTTCCGTTCTCCCAACAATATTGATATCATCGGCATATGCTAGGATTTGCACAGATTTATTATATATTGAACCGGTAGTTGTGATTTGTGACGTACGTATTACTTTTTCCAGAGCTAGATTAAATAGTATACAGGAGAATATTTTATACGCTGCATTTAGGAGCGTAATTCCTCGATAGTTAGAGCATTCAAAGATATCTCCCTTTTTGTGTATGGTGAAAAGTATCCCAATCACTGGGAAGGGACTTCTGTATCCATATTTCCTTTATAAGCTGCTGTAGCGCTATTATGATATCTTCGCCACCTTCTTTATATAATTCCGCTGGGAGATTATCTATTCCGGGTGATTTGTTTCTGGCTAGTTTGTTTACAGCGTCTTTAACTTCCAGGATCGTTGGTGGATTCTCCTCCCTCTCGTCTGCTCCGCTTACCTCACAGCTTTCGTCTTCCGGGTTTTCTTCTTCTTTAAGTATCTGGTTCTTCTTTAAGTTCTTCTATTAAGTATCTGGTTAAAATATTCCTTCCATCGATTTAGTACGTCTGTTCTTGTTGTTAATAGATCGCCATTCAAACTTCTACATTGATTTGTATTTGCCTTGAATTCTTTTCTGTTGATGTTAACTTCCTTATAGAATGTTCTGAATTCTTTCTCTCTGTTGAGGTTTTCTATATATTGAAGTTCCTTTTTTAAGTGGTTTCGTTTCTTCATTCTGCGTATTTTCTTTTCTTCTCTTCTCTTTGTCTGGTAATTCTCTACACTTGTTCTAGTCCGGCGGGTAAGCATTTTTGCATAAGCTTCATTTTTTGTGTGTTGCGTCTTTGAATTCATCGTCAAGAAAGCATCAGATTGAGGACCGAATTTAACGATTAATAAGGTTGGCGGCTAATAAAGCTGTTTTAAAAATGAAAGTTGTCTTTGTTGATGAACAAGAAAAATAACTTCAACTCAAACAACAACTTAAAGCATCAAGTTTCAATAAAGAATTTATTCTGAAAACACAGTAAATAAAATACAAATTTAGAGTCTACTCTTGTAAACAATAACATGATGATGAAATATTTTGATGTTCCATAATATTATGTCGCTGTTTTGTAGTTTCAATGCGATAATACGATATTGAATTGAAAATAAAACTTACCTTTTCTTTTTTGCTGAAGAACCTTCCCAGCGAAGATTTGATTCCTTTCTTTTTCTGCGCAGCAGCTGCAGCGGCGACAGCAGCGGCCGTTGACATATCCCTCGACAGACCCGAGATGGCGTTCTTATGTAGGCTCTCCTGGCTGCTATGACGAGATGACAATGGTGATGGAGGTGTGTGCGTGTGTCCTTGCCTAAACATACTACATTCTACTGTCTAAACTGAAACTAAGAGCATGCAAGAAAGCAAGCGGTTCTTAAAGATGACTGTTGGGTGTATTTTTAGTCCAAGTTGGGTCAGTGACGATGGAAATCGAATCAGAAATATTAAAAATAAAAATCAAATTAAAAAGAAACATTAACGTTCCCAAAAATTGGAATGACTTAGAAAATGCCTGTCCCATGAATGATGACGAGAAAATGTGTTATATAAATGTTATACGCGATTATAAAACTAATATAAAATTGGGAAATCTTGGATTGGTAGCTTCTGTTATTTAACGTGTTTTCTTAGATTGGTAGCTTGAATTTAAACATTTTAAAAAACCGTATTTTTCTAATCGAACAATAATTGTTTAGGTTATTAGATTGATAGTTTTTTTGTATTTTTGGTATTATTTAAAGTGTTTCTGTAGTATGCATTAATTCTTTTTGAAATGTTCCTTTTATTATTTTTCTTTCGTATCCCTTTATTATCTGATCCCTGAACTATATTTTGCTATGCTACTGTAATTATTACAATTAGAGTTTCATTGTCCTTATATTTCTTATTTTCATATTTTTCTATCATCCTATTTTTTGCACTTCGATATCTTGTAAAATAAGTGTTTGGGTTAGTGAAAAATAAATAGGTAATTGTTTAAAAACGCATTCATTTCTCGATGCCATAGCGTTTAGGTATATAAACTCTGTATTTTAAGATTTGGTAATAGAAAATCAGAAGGGACCAAATCTGGTTAATAACCTTTCAATAATTCTTACTCCAAATAATCTTCCTAGGCGATAATCTTTATTGTCTTCAGTAGGGGGAGCGCTCTATTTTCTTAGCTTCTACTAGGTGTAAAATAGAAAATATCATACTAAAGTATAAAAACTAGATTATTTCTACTACGATAAGATCTAAATGAAATATGACACTATTTTTGGAGAAGTAGCCTAATGCTATAGATATTGCTGCATTATTATTATACAACAATTAAAATACAGGAGCTATAAATTAGGGAATATTTTTAAAGGAAATTAGAAATCACCTTCATATTAAAAAGCTTTACATTGAACTCTTAGAAACAGAAGAGTATTAGTTTTAAACAAACCTTTCTTTTTCACAGTTGTTCCTTTTGCTTAAAAAATATGTACTTACAAAACTGGATAAAATATTTTTTTACAAATGACCATATCGCTTAATAATTTCTTGGATTTTGAACTTGTCTGCTTAGTAACTGTTATAATAAAGATATCACACGATTAAAGAGATATATCGGTACCCATTCTTCTCAAAAAAAAAAAATAGTTATAATACTGAAAAATCTAGTGCTCGCACAAATACCTTGAGCAAGAAATACAATTTGGAAAGAGCAACCTAACGCATGAGCTAAAGCGTAGAACAAGTTTGAATTGGGCTGCTTTTGGTAAATTACGGGAGATATTTAAGAGAAATATACCCATATCTGAAGAGAAAAGTACATGGACAACAGTTGATACCAGTAATAAAATACGGAGCGGAGACATTAACATTAACAAAAAAGACAGCACAACAAATAAAAGTAGAAGAGCTAACTGACAAAAATGAAGCTGGCAAAGGGATAAGACAGGGAGATTACCTAAGTCGTCTATTGTTCAATCTGATTATGGATGAAACAATAAAAAAGTAAGATCTAAAAAAGGATACCAAATGGGAGAAAAACAACTTAAAATAATCTGCTATGCAAACGACGCAATACTACTTTCTCAGAGTGAAGATGATTTACAACGTATGATGCACCACTTTAATATAATCCCCAGAAAATTTAACATGTTAATTTCCCCAAAAAATACAAAATACATGGTTATAACAGCAAATTTACTAAGATGTAAATTTAGGATGGAAGGTCATATAATAGAACAAGTAAATAAGTTTGAATATCTAGGCGTTACATGATCTAGCTACGGAAAGCTCGAAACAGAAGTGGAAGATCAAGTGAATAGAGCAAACAGAACCGCAGGTTACCTGAATGAAACAATATGGAGAAATAAAAATATCGAGAACGAAATGAAAGGCAGAATTTTCAAAGCAGTCATCAGACCAATAATGACATACGCCGCAGAAACACAACCTGACACATAGGGGACCAAAAGAATGTTAGAAACAGCAGATATGCAACACTTAAAAAAATTGATGGAAAAACACTATGGGACAGAGCTAGAAGTACAGATATATGACGTAGATGCAAGGTGAAGAACATCAATAACTGTGTAGAAATAGAAGAGTAGAATGAAATGATCATATAAGCTGAATGACAACAAATAGAGTAGTAAAGACGGCAAGGGACGGTTCCTCAATAGGAAGACGATCAGTAGGAAGACCACGAAAACGATGGAACGATACCTTACTGGAGCCACATTGAAAAACAGTCATGTCTACATAAAAAGAATAAGAAAAAAGACGGCGGAAAATTTAAGAGTAGCTCAGAGAGTCATAAACCAGGGAACCAGAAAAATAACGAAGGTCAAAGACATAATGTAACATGTAACTACAATGAAATGGACATGCCCCACTTTTGTAAGAACTTCCTCATTCCTCATGTGTGCAATCTGTAATTTTTTTAACGTTCTGCGATATACCGCTTATTATCCACTAGAGTCAGCAGAGACCCAGAGTTAGAGCCCATCCTACTGTCCAAACAGGCGTCTATTTCCATAATAGACTTGTAGCCAACTATAAGCTTAATTAGTGATATATCATATATAATATTCACTGTAGACTCAAACAGCATATTCCAGCATAGTCCGTCTCATACCCCCAAGAGGGCTGGAACCTCCACGATAATAGCTTCTTGACCTAGCCCAGTCAATACATTCCTGAATAATCTTTCAAAGAAGCTATATAAATGAGAATATCTCTCCTTTGTCTTTCTCTATCTTTCAAGGAAACTACATAGGAGAGAATCTATATCCTGCTATATCATCGACCCGTTCGTTCCCCCTACACCTGAGTGTTTCGGTACCCAGATAAAGCTGGCCTTGTTGGTCAACATAGATATAGAAAGGAATAAGGAATCGAGGAAGATGTTTGTGGCTAAAAAATGTAAAAGGCATAGATATACATTCACTATAACCACGGCAATATATAACTACTTATACCAAGAACCAGGAACAAGGAAAAAGATCCGTATGGCTCAAAGAACGATTTACTATGTTGGGTATTTCTCTACGAGACAAGACCCAAAACCGCCAGCTACGACGAAGAATCGGAGTGGCTGATGCTATAGAGAAAATGGAAACAGTGGAATGGAACTGGGTAGGTCACGTGGTTCGAATGACATAACAGATGGACTAGGCGGATATTGAAAAGAGGCCTACTGAAGTAGAGGTCTTCCACCAAAACGAAGGATTGGCGATTAAAACGTTGAAAAAAACTGGATTCAAGAGACACAAAATCGAAACAGATGGGAAATGAGGGAGATCTATGTCTAGGCAAGGAAAGATTGGACGATGATGATGACTAAGAGCCGAACAAGGCAGGAATTATATCCGGGTTCTTGAGAGTGTTCTGCTACAACAGCATGTAAAAGATGAATTGATTTAATGTATCTTTGATGCTCTTCACCTGGTTTTGATTGGACAACCAATATATTTCTGACCACAGGAACAATACATAAAGGTTGTAGATTTTAATACGGTTTTATAGGCTATCGAGCCCATCTGTACATAGATGAAGCTTACACCAAAAGAGGTGGTGCCTGCTATCAGGTTGGGTGTTAGGTAGTAGAAAAATTGTCTTTGTTTCGAACCATCCTGTTTATTTTATTGAAATATTAACTCCTCAAAAAGGTGATAAAAATGAACTTAGCTAAACGTCGACTGTAACTAAAAAGTGGGTCATTTAACTCATTAATTTTGATTTAATTATTTTATAATAGGTAAAAAATAAGTCCTTTGTCTCTAGTAAAGACAGAATGTTGTAGGGTTTTGTCCTAAAATATGATTGATGGTACATTCCTTGTATTAGTAATTTAACATATTATACAGATTTCAATATTAAATATCGCACAATCGTAAACAATTATTAAGTAACATAAATTTAATAAATTTATCCAGTTTTGTAGATATTCATACTTTTTTAGAGAAAAGTCTCAAAATGCAGAACAGGGAATTAGGCGAAGGGATTGAATAAATAAATAAAAAAATAGAAACTGTAAAAATTGTTTTCTAATAATATACACCAAGAAGCACATAAATATGTACGAACATATACAAATGATTGGAAACTTATACTTTTATATGTTTCACATGTGTCTATGGCTTGAATCTTAATTTGTTATTGGTCACTAGGACTCAATTTTGTCATTTTTCAGTACGTCAAAGTATAGTTGATGTTATATCTCACATTCTAAATTACGTAATAGACCCATCTAAAAAATCGTAATTAAAGCAGACCTTCTTTCTTTTGAATGAATAGTCACTTCCACACAAGAAATTCGACATGTAACTTGTTTACAATTTTTTGATAGCTTTAAAATACAAAATGAAATAAAATTCATAAACAAGGTCGTTAAAAATCAAACCTCATCTGGCTAAATGGGGTTTACTTATGTATTTTTTGTTCAAAAGTTGAGAACAATACGGACATTGTGCAAACTGAACTAAAATAAGAAACTTTCATAGCTTTCCGACGCGAACTCCCCGACATTTCTGCGCGAGCGATTTTTTCACCTATGTTATTTGATGATTATAACGAGAATGTTTGTTGCAGCCGTTATCGATACATAGGTGTTCGTTAAACATCATATCGGAACATAATTGCCAAACTTCGCAGTCAAATCTAAAGTAAGATACTTAAATATAATTAGGCAATTCATAATTTGTAGAGTATATAAATTGGTGGTTTTAGAATGTGACAAAAACAAAAATTAAGTAGATACAGTGATGAAAGATGATACGTCAAAAATAAACAAATACTTGTTTTAATAGCAAAATTATATTCAAACTTTTCACTGCAACAAACAAAACGACACTTTTTGTAACATTTTCTAGTTTGGACGTTGTGAGTTGATGATAAATGAAATAACCATACAAAAGCATTAAATATGATTAAAATTTATTTAAATATCCAGTTCAAGTCAAGATGGGATTTCAGTGTTACTGCATATTATACTGTCATCAAAAAACTCGCGAGATACTGAATCAGTTCTCTGGTTTTGTGTGTTTTATCAAACCATCATTAATACTGCGCGTTAAATTTCCCCCCAATTTCAGTTCTCATCCTCTTTCTTGGTTAAATTTCCTGACTGGAATGAGTGAATGGAACGAAAGCCTGCACTTAATTCGTCAAAGCGGGCTCACCTGGTTCGCGGATAGGTCAACCTGGACGAGTGGGCAAGTTATGAAGTATATGGGGGCGGTTTCGGATTTGAATCAGGCCAGGTTCTCGGTTCCCATGCATCAGTCTTTCAGGGCGAGATGTTCGTAATCCTGTTATGTGCTCAGGTGATATTAGATAGGGCTTTCTCAGGCAGGACCTTCTATATGCTCTCACAGTCAAGCAGCGCTAAGGACTTTGAAAGAGCCCAAAGTCAGCTCTACGCTGGTTCTTGAGTGCAAGAGAAAACTTGCTGATGCTGCGCTCACCAATATGGTTAACTTGGTATCGGTATCGAACGAACGGTCTGACGTCCTGAAAGGACATGGCTCATCCACTTGCCGGTGTGACCTTGGGAGTGCCCTTCAGTACTGTTCTGGGTAGTCTTAAAGAGCTTCTTCTGCCGCGATTCCAGAACTCCGCCAGTTGTAAAGGTATCAGACAGTCTAGGCTTCACATAGTGGGGCCATCCAAAAGTCTTATAGTCGAACTTGTAGACACTGTAGGCAGATCCTGGGATCGGTCTTTATGAAACAGAGCCAAATGAGGGAGTTACCCTTAAAGAGATTTGTGGCTTTCTGTGAATGTGAATGCTTTCTGTGTGTCTACGACACACCACATATATCATTTAGAATGTATTTTTTGTACACACCGAACTGTATATTACTGACTCACAAATGACACTGTTTAAAGCCAGCATTTTGATTACTTAATAATTTTGACATGCAGTTTTAAGAAATATAAAAGATAGCTTATAGTACAGAAATATTCCGAAATACAGAATATAAAAAGGTTTGTATTTAAAGAATAGCGAAGAAAGGTTGGGTTAAAACTTAAACCATTTTTATGCGTTTTAAAATAATGAAGCAAAATAGAAATATTTAAATTTAACTGTTTATTCTAATCATATGGTTTATGCTGTTAATGTTTATGTTAATCACAACCAATAGAAAGATTAAATTGGTAAATATTAAACGAGGAGTACATCAAAGATGTGTTCTGTCCCCAATTAATTTTAATGTATGTGCTAAATATATAATCTATCTTCGCCAGAAGAACATCCTGATGCAGCAAGAATCAATGACATTGTGATAAACAACGTAAGGTAAGCCCACAATAGACAAAACTTTTCCACATTGATCGCCAACCTCAATAGAGATAGTACATAGGGAGAGGAGTTAGCTAAAAAATAAATAGTTTTTATTTTAGTAGTCTAGTCACGTTTTGCTAAACTCACTCGATTGAAAAATAAACATGTTTTATGTTTTAATACGAAACAATACAGCATGACAGTAGCAGTCATATACTGTCCACCAGAGCGTAGTATTAAACTAGAATTATACACATAATACTTAAATTGCAATGGCAATGGAGTTTTGGTAGGTGGTAATTACAATGTAAAACGTATCGACTGGGGTCCAAGACAAATAACAACTAAAGAAAGAGAACTGCTCAGAGCTTGTCGACAACTAAATTGCCTTGTAATGTTTCCTGGAAAACCAACACGTTGGACGACGACAGATGTGAATAAAATACCTGATGAGATTTACTTTTTGTGGTTAGAAATATAAGCTCAGATCATTCCCCTGTTCTTCTGATAAATCAGTGATGAAGCAATACAAAAAGGGTTGTCACCTAGATTAGTGAATAACAAGAATAACTGGATAAGTTTGAAAGAATTGAGAGCAATGATCAACCTTTTAATTCCGTTAAAACTAAATAAAAACTTGCTGTGCAACTGTTCACAAAACAGCTGTTCAAGGAAGAAATTATCCAAAATAAATAATGACAACAAACCAAATACCCCCTAATAAAGGATTCCCCAAACCGACGCGAAACTTTCGCAGCGGAATCGCGGCGAATCGTAAGGCACGGCGACTTAATGCATGTGTTCAGACAAGTTCGGACGGAAACCGGAACGGTCGCGGCAGAACAGCGTTGACGTTTCATGAAACGCTGCATGCACGGTTTTTTCCGCTGCAGTTATAGCAAGTTATAGTTTCGCGTGAATTATTAAAATGGCTGTTACAGAAAAACTAATTGAAATTGTGAAACAATATCCTATAATTTATGATTTAAGTGACGAATATTATAAAAATATAAGAAAAAAGGATAAAGTCTGGGATAATATAGGGTCATTTCTAGGAGAAAATGGTAAGTTTTCATTATTATTATATATAATGAATTTAATAGTGCTCCGCCTGCGAATGTTCCGCAACGGTTTCGCGTCGCAAAAGTTTCGCGTCGGTGTGGGGAATCCTTAAAACAGAATTTAATAATCCAATGGAAAAGCTTAAAGGATAAAATCGCAAGAGTACAAAAGAATCATTGGAGTCATAAACGACTTAACAAGTGACAAAACCACTTAAAGCGACTAAGATCAGTTAGCCCTAGACTCCAACAGAGATCAGAGGTAATGTAAGTCAATAAAACCTCACCAACTACAGGGGGTCATATAAGATGCCCCCAGTTTCATTTTTTTATATTACACAAGTCAAGAGTCTATTGCATTTACCTGAATAAATAACATGAAGATTATTATTTTTTAAATCCAGATGTCCATCGAATGTTTTTTATGTGGCCACACAATGTTTTTTAACAACCTTTTTTATTAAACTGATGATGGAATGATACAATTGTATTCAACAGGTATACTAGCCACTCCTGGATATCTCCACTTCATGGTTTGTTCCAGTTTCACTTTTAAAAAGGTGCAAAACCTTCCAACAAGAAAACCAGATGGTAGCTAAGCTCAGAAGTAATGAATAGAAAGCTGAACGTTTCGCAGAATATCTGGAAAAGATATTTAGAGCCGAATGAAGTTGCATATCATCCCTTCAACAAGAAAACCAGATGGTAGCTGGGCCCAGAAGTAATGAACAGAAAGCTGAACGTTTTGCAGAACATCTGGAACGCATATTTAGAGCCGAATGAAGGGGTGATCTTGAAGAAAAGAAGGGTCATAATGATAGTAAAACCACAAAATGAAGTTTCACCTTACAGCTCTATAACTCTACTATCCTAATGTCGAAACTGAAACTTTTGCTAAAAAGACTAAAAATAGAACAAAGAGAAAGTCACTGGACTATAGGTAGACTATATTATTAGAAAAATAATTAGAAGGGAAAAGTGTGTTTAGATCTATTTCTGAATGCAGGGCACGCTTTTAATATACCTTGTTTTGATCTGAAAACCAAAAAAATTTGTGCCAGCCACATATTTATACAATATTGAGTAAAAGCCAGTGAAGCATGTCCCAAACACGACCGAATCTCACTGTAAGTTGACATTCTTTCAATAGTTGTTCACCAGCAAATGACAGTGGACTAGGCTGATTTAAAAAAAAAGCGAGTTGATCGAAACAATATTGTTATGTTAATCTAGATGCACACATATAAAAATTACGATCAGATTACCTACATATTTTATATGATAGCATTTACATAACAAAAGGATCTGAGCATATTACCATTGAAACTTCAAAATTTACGATTATGATGTCAGGTTTGACATTTTTATACTTCAAATTTAGATAAAAAGTAGATTTATGATTTAAAGTAATAAACAAATAAGCCAGAGGTCAGCCAAGAAATTATATGGAAAAGAAGTCAATGGATTTAAAAAATTTTATATTTCAATTTTAAAACGCATATAAAACGTACGAAAAAAGATTATTAGAACTATCAACCTGGTAGCAAACTTCTAAATATCACAAAAATATACCTTCGAAGTTCCTCTTGGCTGTGAGCTAGAGCTTGAGCTACTCGTTCCAATCTTAAGTGACGTGCTGTGAGTGGTGATGCTCCTCCGCCATTAGTACCGTCCGCGAGAGACATCTCGTCAGCTGTTAATTCGGATGACATCGGTTCTAGTGGTAACTGTCAAATAAAAAAGTATTATTTAATAATTTTTGTTTGTTGTGTCAAAAATTTTACAATCTAGTCAACATATACAATCTCGAGAGGGCTCAATGTTAAAACCAAAAAACAAACACATCTATCCATTCAAACTATTCTTCCATTATACGTTGTGCATGTAAACTATTAATTTCTCAAACATCCTCCCACAAAATTTAATTAGGACATGAAATAATGGACGTCAAAGATGTGTCTGGATTAAGTATAACCTTGACCCGGAACAAAGGATTAAAGCAAGAATTGTTCAAGAATCATGAACCTTAGATATGCGGACGATAACCTAATGTTAGTCTGCTCAGAAGAAGAACAGCCAAATAATTAACAAGCTGAGCATGATGATCCCCGAATATTATTATTATTATTATATAACAAATAAGGGCAGAGGAGCGAGCTCCTATTATGCCCAAAAAGCAAAAATAAACAAAAATAAAATAGATCCTTATAAAACGAATACTAATTATAAAGTTAAGTAGTTAAACAATTAACAAAAAATGGAATTGTGACACAATAAATAAATAAATAAATAATGCTGTCCGAGAAAAAATATCCTATCCTATAAAAAAACTAAAGCGCTATCAAGTTTATTTTTAAAGATGTTAACACTAGCTGCCGATATGGTGTCTTGATCCAAATTGTTCCAGATATTAAAGATTCTGTTTGGCAAGAAGTTCGCCCTGGACCTTGCAGTAGTTTGTTCCCTCTTTAATTTGTAACGATGGCCTCTTAATCTATCGTCTTCATTCAAAGTGAATATGGTTTTTAGGTTCCCAAAATTATGTTTTAAAATACGGAAGGACATAATTAGGTCACCTCGAAGACGTCGCTGCTCGAATGTCGTAAGATGAGCCATGAATAGTATATCTTCATAGTTAGGTCTTACACGGCCGTATGCCAGTTTTGTGGCTTTACGCTGAACGTTTTCAAGTAGGATTTTATCGCGACTAAGATCTGGATTCCACACTGGTCCGGCAAACTCAAGAATAGGTCTAACGTATATTGAGTAAAGTTTACTAACAGAGGTTAGAGATATGCGTGCAAAACATTTACGGATCAAAAACAGTTTCGAGTTAGCACGTTTACACACCGACACTATGTGATCAGACCAATTTAAGTCACTATTAATTATCACTCCGAGATCGTTGTGTGAGGTTACAGAGTTTAAAGGATGTCTATTAATAAAGTACGGCAGTGATGGGTTATTTTTACCGATATGTAAAACAACGCGTTTTTCAATGTTAAGCGGAAGTAACCATTCTGAGGACCATTTGAATATTGCGTCAAGATCTTGTTGAAGAATACGTTGGTTAATAGTTGGATTCACATATAACTTAGTGTCATCAGCGTAAATGGAAACCTTACTGGATACAATGAGCGGAAGATCACTAGTGTAGACACAAAAAAGTAGCGGTCCAAGTACTGATCCTTGTGGAACTCCACTCTTGGCTGGCTTATCTAATGAGTGGTCTTCCCCAATACGAACCCTGAAGTATCTGTCGGATAGAAAATATTGTATCCAAATGTTTAATTTTCCGCGGATACCATAGTGATCCAATTTAGCTAGTAATCGACGTTTTGGAACACGATCGAAAGCTTTGGAGAAGTCTAAGTAAACTACATGGACAGGATTCCGATTGTTTAAAGATAATGACCAATCCTTTACACAATGAAGTAAGTTTGTGATCGTTGAACGACCTTTGATAAATCCATGCTGTTGGTGAGGGATGACATTTTCTTGAAGAAGGAACTCAGACATAGCTTCCGAAATAATCGATTCCATGACCTTGCTGACAATAGGAATCAGGCTGATTGGACGATAATTATTGCAATCAAGTTTATTACCTTTCTTGAATACAGGAGTAACTGAAGCCAATTTCCAGGACGAGGGGAGGGAACCTTGATTAAAAGAAGCAGTCATTATGAGAGATATAGGGATGGCTACAGAATCTGCACATTGTTTGAGGAAAAAAGAGGTGAGTCCGTCTAATCCAGGTGATGAATTATTTCGCAGTTTCCTTAAATGATATTTAATTTCATCCGGTGTGAAAGATATATTGTCAAGAGTTTTAGACAAACGAGGGCACATTGTTTGAGGAAAAAAGAGGTGAGTCCGTCTAATCCAGGTGATGAATTATTTCGCAGTTTCCTTAAATGATATTTAATTTCATCCGGTGTGAAAGATATATTGTCAAGAGTTTTAGACAAACGAGGGCACATTATTTGAGGAATGTTTTCGTTAGATTCATCTGTAAAAACTTGAGAAAAGAATAACGATAAACATTCCGAAGATTCGTTATTCGAAGAACATAAAGACCCATCAGCTTTTTGAAGCAATGGTATGGAGACTTTAGAAGATATAGATGTACGAATGTACCGATAAACTTTTTTACTATTACCACTTGCAATGATAGATTCCTCAAATTCTGTTCTTAACTTTAGTAAAGATTGTTTGACTCGGTTAGAAAAATTACGATGGGCGAGAAAATCATCAGGGGTACCAGTGAGTTTATATCTTCGCCAAAGCTTTCGCTTATGTCGAATTAAATGAGTAGCTGAGAGGTTAATCCAAGGTTTTAGTCGATTTCTATATACCTGCCGTTCGGTTGTATGATCAGAAATTGTTGTAATAGCAGTATGAAGGAAAGAGTCCCACATTGACGATGGATCAGAGTGATTAGGAAAAATAGATTGCCGGTTTAACTGGGATAAATCTGAATTTACATCAAAGAAATTAGTAGTGGCATACGTTACGAAATTATTTTTGCAAGGCGGTGTTAAACTAAATTGAATGTTAAATAAATAACTAAATGTCTTATATCGAACAAGAAAAAGACCCAAAGCATTATAATAGATCGCACTCGGTTCAGCATCAGAAACTGCCGTCTTCGAAGTGTTCTATAAGATTAACTAACTCGTTCTCCTTATTTCAAACAAGATGTGACGAAGAAATTAAATATCGATTGGCAACTATAAAACTAACTCGTATGTGGGTAGACTCAGTTATATCCCAACAAAATAAACTAAAACGATTAAAAGCATTAATCTTTCCTATTGCTACACATGCATCTGAGACATAGATATTAAAGGTAGCCAGCCAAAGAAAAATAAATACCTTCGCAATGTGGGCTTATAGAAAAATGTTGCGAATATCAAACACAGACCACCGCACTAACATTTCAATTATGAAGCAATAAAAGTCAACACAAAACTAACAAATCAAGGGCAAACAATCACGAGGAAGGTTTCCCACACGCTGGATGGATCAAACCAGAGGAATTATTGGCCTTGGTATACATGAATCATCTCTAGCACCTCAAGACTTGAAAATTTCCACAATATTGAGTTTTTGAAGTTTATAGTTGTCATTGAGATATTGTAAAAAGTATTGTAATAGTTATGGTGTTCAGAATACAACTATTTTAAAGAAGTGACAGCAGTGAAATCAAAGAAATGTTTAGTAATTGTTAATAGTCAGTACAAGATCTACCGATTTTCACAAAGAAATGTATACATCCGGACCACCCGCATGGTTTTTAAAAATGAAAGAAGATGAAGAGAAACTTAGGCAAGAAAAGAAAGACGAAAAGGAGAAGCATAGACAAGAAAGACGAGAAGGAGATGTATAGAAAAGTAGAGGTAGAACTCATGAATGGTTTATCTCAAATTCACGAAAATTTTCAAGTTACTGGTAAAGTAGATAATACTAGTGTATGTAATTCTAACATTATATATGTAATTTAAAAATAATATTACATATTTCCATATCTGAATCAATAAGTCTCTTAACGCTGTTGGTGAGTTGCAAAATTACACATAATAAAAGAGGTTTCTGGTATCTGATATCTTTAAGTTTTTGTTAGAGCAAAGAAAGATGTACTATGTTCTGATAATGGGGCATATATTTTAAGCCTCGAAACCGGTAGCCTTAAAATTTGACTACAATAAAAAACTTACCTAATATTATGAGGATTGACTTATCTCCTATGCACTAGTATTATGGACTCACATTGGCAATCTTTCCATTATTTAAAACAGATCAATTAGAAGAAAAACAGAACGATATTAAAACCAGTTTAAAAATAAAATAGAACAGCAAAACAATTTAAAAAATAAAATAGAACAACAGCAAAACCTTTTAAAATCTTATTTACAAAGCCAAATAGTTGGGTTAGAAAAAAAAATTAATACCCAAGGTTCTTTATCTAATATTGTTTCAGTAACTAATTTCGAGAGAGGAGAAAAGTCCATTATTGACTATGTATTGGTAAACAGACCTTTAAGACAGTGTATCAAAGATGTCAGAGTCAGAAGGGGAGCAGAAATATATAGCGACCATTATCTGGTAGTATCCCGAACTAGTATCGGTGTGGAACAAAAACGCACGCAGAAGGTACCAAGAAAAAGAGACATAACCCCAAGAAACCTCACCAACGCAGTTATTAGGTCATACAAGTTAGCAGATAGGAAAATAGCACAGAAATACAAAAGCTTTGTGAACAATAGTCTACAAAAGCACTTAAACCAGAACTATGACTTAGAAGAAACTTGACAAAAACTTAAAGAATCTCTCCTAGATGGGGGCAAGCAAATCTGCGGAATAGCTAAAATCAATAAAAACAGACAATGTACGAATTGGTGGAGTAATGAAATAAAAGAAGAGGTCAAATCCAAGAAGCTAGCGTGAAAAAAATATCTAGGGAACCATAATGCAGAAAGCTATCAAAAATATAAGCAACAGAGGGCAAAAGTAAAAGATATGGTGATTGAAGCAAAAAAGAAGAGCTGGGAGGATTTTGGGAATAAGCTGGAGAAAGACTACCACACTAACCAAAAACTATTTTACAAAACTCTGAGAAGCCTAAGAACAGAGAACAGACGACAAACACCAAAACAAATTAAAAACAAAGATGACCACATCCTCTACGAGAACGAAAGTATTATGAACAGGTGGAGAGAATATTTCGAAGACCTTCTGACTCAAAAAGACTATAATAATGAAATAGACAACACTGAAGAAAACACATCTGAGAACCCAAACCAAAACGAAATAACAATAGAAGAAATAAGAGAAATAATACTCAGGCTCAAAAGAGGAAAGGCAGCTGGCTATGATAAGATAACTGCGGAAATGCTAAAAAATATGGGAGAAAATGGAAATGAAATGATTAGAAAACCTTGCAATAAAGCATGGAATCAGAACAAGATCCCAAAAGACTGGGAAGTGGGCGTTATTCTACCCATTTTCAAAAAAGGTGACAGACGAGAATGCAGCAACTACAGAGGTATAACTCTCCTGAGTACCCGTTCCAAAGTTTACGAACGAGTACTGGAGAAAAGACTACTACAAGAAGTAGACCATAAGCTGGAGCATGAACTAATTTCCAATCAGAACAAAGAGCTTCATCATCTTTCACCAGCACAATTAAAACTAGCAAAATTTGAAAACCACCCACATTCGATGGCCAAAGAGCATGGTAAACTTATCCTTTTATATTTGAAGCTGCAGTTAAGGCAAATGGCCGGACGGAGACAGAAATGGCAGCTTACTTAGTAGGGTTGCTTCGAATCAGGCAATATGCACCCAGTTATTTCTCTCTCTCCTTTAAGCTTTGGCTCAAGATAAGATATTGCCAGCATCATCTAAACCAGTTTTCCCAAAGTCAGTTGAAATTTCGATATAAAAAGCGAAATATTTCGATATAAACTAGGACTCCATGGGAATCTCTGTATATTTCCAACGGTCTATTAGATCGGCAGTGGGAGAGTCCTGATGGATTACGTACAGTTCAAAAAGTGGTACTGCCAAAATCACACACTAAAAGTGTGTTACAATAAGCAGCATTTTGGAGTTAAAAGAACAGTTGCTTGAGTTCGAGAAACATTTTACTGGATCAATTACGGCCGAGATGTAGAAGATTGGTGTAAGAAATGCGATTTATCTAATGGTAGAAAAGGCCTAGAACAAGAAGTCGTGGTAAGTTGAACGTATGAAAAAGTAGGTATATCGATCTGGGTGGGACATATTTTGAAAAGCAATAAAGTACTTTAAATCTATATATTTTTTGTCTTTATAGCTATATGCAAAACTAAAAAGACAACTCTGGTATACCCCTTGATAGCATTTTATTTGTACTGCGTTGATAGATAAAACACTCTTATAAGTCTTGTATTCCCCTGTACAAATAATCAGAAATATGTATCAAATAATAAATTTCGGAGAAATATACTTACGGTATGGTATTTTTGAAGATAATCTCTTTGTGGTGAATGGTGTGATTTAGGTGTAGATCTACCGCTAACTGGTGGACTTTGACGTTCCATGCTCCTCCCTCGTGTTAAAAGATTAACGTGTTCCATACTTCCTACTCGCGATTCCAATTCCTCCGCTCTAGCTTCTGTATTCTGCTTTTCTTCTTGTATTAATCTAATTTCGTTATTGATGGCGTCTAATTGTTCCTAGTAATACAAAAATACTTTGTTAATGTTTATCGATCTTGGAATTTTACTTATTTTAGTTTTTGGAGAAACAGGTCTGTTAAAAAGGTTTATATGACACAAAAGTGACCAGAATTTTGATTTTTCTAAATACAAAAGTCGGATTTAAGTTAAAACTAAGTCAATTACAATTATTTAACATAAAGCCTTTCCTTTTAAATCCAGTCTCTTGATTGTTCTAACCCATCTTTTTCACACAATGCAAACACAATAAAAATCTTAAGTTCAGATACATTTAAACAAACTTTATTAAATAATAAAAAAGTTATTAACAATATTCAAAAATAGCAATTTTGTTATTAGTTTTGCAATAATTTCGTTTTATTGTCTTTTTATTATCGTTTTAGTATTTTATTTATTTGTTTAGTATCTTTTTTTTTAAATTGTCTTTTGACGTCAAATATATAAATATACCAGTTTTTAAGTTATGAGCAAAATAATGAGTTTGACGTTTTGATTGTTTATTTAGAAATGGTTCCATTAAAAAATTAATGAATCCCTAAAAATGTAATATCTCATACTACACATTTCACTGTCAAAAACTTAATTGGCTTAAGATAGACAATTAAAATTCTACTACCCCTCAAAACTACAAGATTTCTTTAACTGTCAAAAGATTTTATGAAATATATATTTAACCATTTTAATACAATTTACTCGATGGTTCTTTACCCGTGCGTCATTAATATCTGGTGAGATAAAACACATACTTTTTATTAGCATCATTGTCTTCCACGCATGAAACTAAAGACAAACCAGCTGCCGCCTGTTATTAACACTAGAAAGTCGTTATCGATCGAAAGTTATCGATCGTTGGATATCATGTTGGCTACCATATTCGCTATCGTGACTTTATTGACAGCAGCTCTAAATAACGATGTAGTTGATTTTCCATACCATTGCCTTAGATTTTTTAGCCATGATGTTCTTCGTCTACCAGGACCACGATTACCTTGGATATTTCCCTGAATGATCAGATGTAAAAGATCATATTTTTCAGGGTGCCTCATAATGTGACCGAAGTATTCCAGCTTGCGTTTCTTTATTATATTGACTAGTTGTGTTGTTTGGCTCAGCCGTCTAAGGACCTCCTCATTTCTAACTCTCTCGACCCAGCTTATTTTCAGTAGTCGTTTGTATACCCACATCTCAAAGGCTGTCAAGCGTTTAAGCATAGCCTCAGTTAGAGTCCACGCTTCCACTCCATACAGCAGGACAGGAAAGATGTAGCAAGATGTCATACGAACTCTAAGGTCAATGCTAAGATCGTGACTGCAAAGTACGTTTCTCATTTTTACAAAGGCAGCTCGGGCTTGTTCTATTCGGCTTTTAATTTCTGCGGTTGGATCCCAGCTCTCATTGATATTACCGCCGAGATACACGAGTTTCTCTACTCTGTCCAGTGTGGCATCTCCGACTTTTATACCGTCATCCTGTATATAATTTATGTTTGGTAACTATCATATATTTAGTTTTCTTAACGTTGACGGTTACTCCATTCACAATAATACCTTCGGTTGTCTCCATTAAGGCTTCCTTAAATATTTCCTCCGAATATAAGTTTAAAAGTAAAGGCGACAATATACAGCCTTATCTCACTCCTCCTTTTATATTTATTTCATCCGACAGTTCATGTTCAACCTTTATTCTTTCCACTTGATTCCAGTATAGATTTGTAATTATTTGTAGATATTTATCGTCCAATCCAGCTGTTTCCAATATTTCTAGCATTTTGTTATGTCGGACTTTGTCAAAAGCTTTTTCAAAATCGATTGCACAAATGTACACATTTTGATTAATATCTCTGCATCTCTGTACTAGCACCTGTATACTAAACAAAGCTTCTCTTGTACCCAAGCCACTCCTAAACCCAAATTGAGTATTGCTAATTCTGTCATCTAACAGCGTATAAATTCTGCTGTGTATTACTCCCAGGAAGATCTTCAAAACGTGACTCATCAGACTTATTGTCCGATAATCACCGCATGTCTTTGGACGATGTTTCTTAGGTATTGTGACAAATGTCGACTTTAACCAATCAGTTGGTAATATTCCAGTGTCATAAATTCTGTTAAAGAGATTACACAGAGCTTTAATTCCATTTTCTCCCAAAAACTTTAGTAGTTCAGTACTTACTTCATCGGGGCCAAGTGCTTTTCCATTTTTTGTCGTCTGTATTGAACGTCTTACCTCACTTTCTGTTATAGATGGAAATGTAGTTTTCCCATTCTTTTAACTTTTCATTGATGTCTAAATGTCAACAAATTAATTGAACAGTGGTTTATTAGAAAAGAAAATATTTATATGTAATATTAATATCGAACCTGTAATAATTAACAGTGGACAGATCAGATTCTGAAGGTGATGAACATGAAATATGAGAAACAAAAACATACGTTCAAAATCTTGTAACAATATTATTTAAGCTAAATAATGTTTCATTCTTTAAATAATTATACTTCAACATTTTACCTATTACATTAACACACAGTAAATATTGTATATTTAATTAGGTATACTTTTTTACAAATTGTTGATTTATTTATTAATCACTAATGATATCAAAATAATTTATTAAGCTACTTCCAATGTAGCTGTATTTCTGCACCAAAATTTTACAAGCAAAACCGCGTAAAGTTTTATCATATAATCCGTCATCGGAGTAGTAGCCACTTTCTGTCACTTGCTGTTACGTCGAGTAAATTTTCGACTTGTTTCGTACGCTTTAAATGATAACTCACGTGTAAAGAACCATGGGCTCAACTGCATAAAGGTTATTTTTTAATGAATACTAAGTATAACTTACCTGAAGCATCATAGCTAAAGTTTGAGCGTCGGTGTGACCTCCTGGAGATAACATGTCTTGTGTGCTGAAAATGCTCTCTGCATCGTCTCCTTCTGCGTCGCTAGATACATCGAAAGCTTGTTGAACGTTGGCCAGCACGTGAGCCTGTTGCAATTTCTCCCATTCCTGTTCGCTCATCGATCGCGAAGCAAACGGTAACTTTGGTTCTTCATCGATGGGAGTTCTGCTTTTAGCTGCTCTACGAGGCAAGGAATGACTGTCGAAACTGGAATGACTCGCGCTTCTGGAGAAAGTACTCGGATCGACCGCGTTTGGAGACAGCGATCGAGTGAGGGCGTCGGTCTGTTGAATATTGTAGGCGATTTCTTGCTGAAGCATTTGTCTTTTAACGTTATCAATTTCTAACCTAGATTTAGCTAATTCTTTCATAATTTCTGACTTTTGACTATCCAACTCTTCTAACATCTTCCTCGTCTTTTCCAAATCCTGAGTGAGGCTGTTCTTTTCTTGCAGAGCGTGCATTCTTTCTTTGAGATGTTCTTGTAGCCTTTCGTTCGATTCGGAAAGAAGTTTGTCGACCGTTGATGAAAGTCGCGAGTTGTGTTCCTCGTTCATTTTTAGTCTTTGGTTGAGGCGAATCAATTCCGCGTTTTTCTCATCTAAATTAGCTTCAAGTCTTTGAATTCGGTCCTCTGCAGATCCGTGTCTTTCTTGAGCCTGTACAAAATAAATGATCAAAAAAGGCGTTAATACATACTTATAATAGAAATGAAATAATCCTTCACTATAGCTTAAAATTCATTATTTTTTGTTTGGTACCAAAAGTTTTCATACTGACAATGAAAACATTACGAAAGAACCTACGAAAAGAAACATAATTACAGTGGTCTATGCAATAAAAATAATATGGTTTGGAATTGAAGTCTCTTTGACAATAAAATCTTTTAGCAAACAATCTTATATGTGCAATGAAAAATCATAAATATCATGTACTATATTCATAATTTGTAAAATTAATTTGTAAGTTACCAACCAGCATCATTTAAATTTAAGTGCTTCCATTTATTGTATGATTAATAATGTATGTAAATTTTTTCTTCATGACTCAGTATTAATAATAGAGACTTAAGTATACAGAGACTAGTTAAACATTTTTAATGAAGTTAAGTAATTTGTTTGCTTTTTTTTTCTATAATTATCAGTTTAAGATATTCGAGACGCTTTCGAGTAAACATGAAAAATTATTAGGAACGTCCAAAGGAGACGATATATTCAGATTAATAAGAAATGTTAATACGAAGAGACAATTGTGAATTGCATCCTAGCGAGAATCGAGAGAGTAAAACTTTGTCATGTTGGAGGAACTCTTTGTGTTCAGTCGAAGTAGCTAAAGACAGCTCAGCCGCTTGTACTAGTCTTCCTTAACGAGGAGGAATAACGCAGTCTCAGTTATTCAGATATTATGGAACATACAAAGTTGAGAATGGACTATGGAAAAATAGTTATGAAAACCGCAGAGAAACCGAGCAAAGACTGAAAGGATCCAATAAGTCAGTATGAACGGCGCAATGAGGAAAAGGTTTAAGTATCTGTTGAAGCAAGGTCTTAAACCAGCAGGATCGACAGCAGGCGCTAAAACTTATCTGAAAACCACATTATATATATATATATATATATATATATATTATATATATATATATATATATATATATATATATATATATATATATATATATATATATATATATATATATATATATATATATATATATATATATATATATATATATATATATATATATATATATCACTTCCAACCTACTTCAAAAATATCCAATAGATGCTTAATACCACCGTGGACAAAGATCTATAATAGATTATGTTATAACCAACAGAGATATAGATCAATAAAAAATAATCGACCTAAGATGCCTAAACTCAGCAGATCTAGGTAGCGACCATAGCCTAGTATTATGTAAAATAAGAATCAGCTCGAAGTACTTCACACCCAAGAGAGCGGGCCAACAGAAAGAAAAGTCAGAGTCGAATTACTAAATACGGAATCCATGGAATACTTATACAGAAAAAGAATATCGGAGAAGATTGCTGGGAATGAGATATTAAGCCGCGTACAAACTAAGTTCGCAAACCGTTCGTGAACAGTTGTGTCCACGAAAGTTCGTAATGGAGTCGCGAACAGTTCGCCGTTCCCTCCAAGTTTGCTTGTATAACGGTAACCACTGCTATAGCGGAACAACCAGTTAGTAAACAAAACGGTCTAGACGTCTTGGAGTTCGCTTAAACCAAAAAGAGGGTAACTATATTTACTTTAGTTTGAGGTCAAATTTCAACATGCAGTTTTGTATTGGTATTATCTTCACATACTTGTGGTATAATTGTTGAAATATGTTTTGATATTTTAACAGGTACACTAGGCTAGTAAACGAATCTCCAGTTGTTAAAAAACGTAGTCAGTGCTAGTCGCTCCTGGACTGTTATTGCTTTGCCATAGCTCGTATTTTTTTTATACAAGTGGGCCAATCATACTTATTGATTCTTCATAATCTTATGCACTCATTCGGTTACAATTATTAAATAGCTACTTATCCGCCATCTGCAAATCTCTCAATAAATGAGATCCTCCATAAACCGAACGACTTTTGACTAAAATTCGTTGCCACTAATAATTAGCAATAGAAATGTGAACCTCAGCAAACTGTTCGATAAAACTGTTCGCGAACAACACTCATTTTTTGTGTAGACGTCTTGACTAGACGAAAAGCTCGAACTATTCACGAATTTTGGTCTGTACGCGCCTTATAGAAACTATAACATCGAGGAAAGCTGGGAAAACTCAAAAATATAATTAACGCAGCAAGATAATCGCTTGGAAAAAGGAAAGTAACGAAAACTAAAATATCAAAAAAGAAAACCCCATTGTTTAGAAAGGAAGTGAAGAAAAAAAAAGTGAAGAAAATAAGAAACCTTTTTTACAACACAGAAAACAACAAACACAACAAGCATACAACTACTTTAAACGAATTAGAAATGACGATTTGCTAAGGGAGCCGATAATGAACAACAGAAGTGACGACACACGAAGAAATAAATAGTGAGGAGGAAGAGGTAAAGAAAGCATTAAGGAAATTAAAAAATAGAAAATCACCAAATGACAGAATACTGAATGAACTCCTAAAGTACGGAGGACCAGATCTGACTAAGCAACTATTAAAAGTAATTAAAAAAATAATAGAATAAAACAAAATACCACAAAAAAGGAGATCAAGCCTCTAAATCTCGTCTCTTCAAAAAGGAAGACAAATCTGTAGAAATAATCAAAACGATCGAAAATATCAACCAAAACAACACAATAAATGTAAAAGTAAAAGAACTAACTGACCTAAAGTGGAGAGCACCAACGACTGGTTAAGAAATAGAAGAGCAGAATAGAACGATCATATAAACCGAATGACAATAAATAGAGTAGTAAAGATGGCGAGAGAAGGTTCTCCATTAGGATGACGATAAGTAGGATGACCACGAAAACGATGACACGGTAACTTACTGACTATAGGACTCACATGGACAGCTTACGGAAAACTGAGGGAAGTCTTCAGAGGACCAAATATTCCCATGTGCTTGAAAAAAAAAAGGTTTTTGATCAATGTATACTCCCAGTTCTAATATATGGAGCAGAAACATTGACTTTTACCAGAAAAGTAGTCGATGAGATAAAAGTGGCATAGAGAGCAATGGAGAGGTCAATGTTGAATATATCCCTTAGAGACAGAGTTTCAAATCATATAAGTATATATACCCGGTTTTTTAGGCGTCACGCCCGTCCGGTAGGGAGCTATGGAGGAGTATCACCGAGTCACAAGCCCTTATCTCTTGCCGTACTGCTCCACCATAGGCCGATCAGACACCAGCATGTTCTAGCCTAAGCCGCAGATTCATCTAGAATTTTAAACTGCTTCGTTAGACTTTTTGTTTTCTGTACACCGAGCTGGGGACCGAACCCACATCCACTAAACCATTCGCAGCGAAGCGAATGAGAAGCAGCCGCCCAGCTCGCTAGGCTATCTGACCGACGTTTCAAATCAAATGGGAAAAAAACTGGTGTTACGAAAGCTATTAAAAGAATTACAATGTAGAAATGTAACTGGACATGACATGTTGCCAGAATCAGAGATGGACCAAGAAAATTTTAGAATAGAGACCTAGACAAAATGCTTATCGTAATCGAGGATGTCGTCTAACAAGGTGGTCGGACGACATCAAGCGCATATAGCATAACTGGATTCAAGTTGTTCAAGATCGGATGCAATGGACTTATTTACGGAAGGCCTATGTTCAGCAATGGACTCAAAACGGCTAATGATGATGATGATAGAATTATATCATGCATCTAAACATATAAGACTCAAAATTAATCTCACTAATATTAAAATCATGGCATCCTGACATCATACGAAATGACACTGTTCTGCATTTTTTAGATGATCCTTAGGTTACGCGATATATCACAAGTTTGTGAAAATAAAAATAAGAATAGAAAATAATTTATTATTGTATTCAGTTTATTCAATTAATAGAATTTATTGTATTCAGTGACCAAGCCAAATTCTGTTTAACTGATAATGTGAAAACTGGCCAGATTCTAATCCGCACAGGATGGAGGATAACCATACCTAACAACCAGAAAATATCCAGTTAATGTCTGGGCAACTAACTTAAATAATTTAAACCACAGCATACGTCGTGAAATGCAGGGAATTATTATAGAAACGATCAACAATTATAATTCTAGCTATAGATTATAATATCATTGTAAACAACAATTACACAACATTTTGAGCATTTATTGAACAGAGGAGATTGTAATTTTGTTCATTTGTTCAGTTTTATGTGTTGTGATTTAATTAAATGGTATTTTGAATAAATGTCCTTCAATGATTTAATTAATTATTTATTATGATGTCCCGTAACTAGGATTTTTGAAAATTTTAAGAAATAAGCTAATCTGTGTTATTCTCTCAACCTACGTCGCGATTTAAAAAAGACAAAGATGTCGGCGATACAGGAAATGATGACTTACACAAACTTACAGTCACAGAAATCACAACTAGCTCCCGTGGAAATTGTTTTGTCTAAGTGGTCCACATGATCAACACAAACAAAAAATGATACATTCATATATGGAGAATACCATAAGTATTGTGAAAAAAAGAAAGTATGTAAGTAATATTTATTAGATTTGTTATTTTCGTCTTCCATTTCGATATTACTTTCATTACTGCTATCTTAGTCAGTTACAACTTTGACTGAATCAATTTATATATTTTATTATTCACATTTAAATGCGTTTAAAAATTGATGGATGTTTAAATTATATGCTTATATGTTTAAAAATATTAACAATTTTGTTAAATGAATTTTATTTTAAATGCGAGCGTTCACTATCAGTGCTATGATCTAGGCGAAGATATGATGCGATGTTCTCTGTAATGAACGCACCCTTCATTACGGAGTATAAAAGTATTTTAATGAGTGTGTGTGAGTTTATTGCATTTAACTCTTACTACACGTCTTGCTTTTTAAGTTGGGTGTACCACATTCCCGTGATTTATGATATGTGAAAGCGGTTTTAGTAGATTCCTAAGAATATTTTAGGAACATACTAATCTTAAGATTTCTTTAAATAATCGCCTTAACTA